AACTGCTGAAGCAACGAAATCTCAAACTATTGGCTTTCAAATGAATATTTCAATAAAATTAACAAATACTGAGTTTGAATAATGAATAGTTTGGCAATAACAAACACCTGTGTCCTGTGGAGAAAGCAGTAAATACAACAGTGTCGCATATTTACGGCAATATAATATAAAAAACCAAATAAAACGTATAAAACGAAAAGGATACAACTATCAGGGGATACATTTAAATTCAATTCACTGCTTTTCAATTTGAAATATGACAATCTTAATGAAGCAATAGTGATTTCTTACAGCAATCTTTCATCAAGAGGAAACAATAATTTATCGAACATATATTTTTCAAATAAGAAATGATAAGAATTAGTTTGTAATTTGAAACTGCTTTGTTATTTGTTTGCACTTTACTTTTCCAAATTATTTCACTATATTCCATGCATTTCATCCAAAAATTTTCTCTAAACTATTCTGAATTCAAATGAATTATAAAAATTTGTATTGTATGATTTGTTGTATTCAGGTATTTGCATCATCTACTGAAGAAAATGGCAAGATGTTATTATGTGAATTGTATGAAAGTTCATCATTATTGGCACAGCTTGGCACTTTTGTTTCCAAGGATGTTGAGAAACTTTTAGCTAATGAAGGTACAATCTCACAATTCTAAAAATTATTTGAAGTAATTTTCTTTTCCTGCCTATTATTATTATTATTATTATTATTATTTCAACGCCATATTGTCATTGTTTTCTGGGAAGTAATTAATTTAACAAATAAGTGAATTAATTAATTCATCGAGTGATTGATTCATTTTAGATGATGAAATTTTGCTACTAATGAAATAAAAGAGCTGAAATTTCGATTAAATGAAAAGACTTAAATTTCTAATATTGAGATAATAAAGATCTACATATTAATTTAATTTAACTCCCTTTATTTAATCGGTCTATTTTCCACTGGATGAGAACTAGGTCAACAATAAGTAAGTCTAAGACCTATTATCTATGTTAGTTGTGATAAATGAAATCTATAGATCTGTCTTTTTTAAAATACTTTTAGGACAGTTAGATGATAAAACTTAAATAATTAACTCAGAATTTTGCGACATTCAAAATTGTGCTTTCAAGATTTCAAAAATTTTTGTCTTTTTTTGAATTTGTCTTGCTTTCTCATCTAGAAACTTTACCATTGGTTCATTTGGATCATAGAGCAAAGTTGCTTGCCGTACATTTGAATCTTTGTCGTTATAAGCTCAAATGTCCAAAACAGTTTTATCATCTGTTGAAATTTTGTTCATTAGTAATAAAATGCATATCAGAAAATTTATACTAATTAGTTGGACGTTGTAGTAATGATTACAGGTGTGACAATAGACGATGTGCAGGATATCGAAAAGAGGAAACACGAATATCTGCGATTCGGGAAAAGAAAACACGAATATTTGCGTTTTGGGAAGAGGAAGCATGAATACTTAAGATTTGGTCGTAAGTAGTTGAGATCAAAGTTCCCGCTGCATCCATAATTTTCCTGAACTTTATGTATATGTTGTATATCATTGCGGTGTTTTTTCATATATGACATTTATTTCTGAAGCACATCAATAAAGGTGAAACTATGTTTTCGTATCACATATAACTTATCAGTTACCAGATAGAATAAATTATATCAATAATATCTAAACCATGAATCAAAAAGAAGTGTCAAAACGTTGTTTCAAAATGACTCCCACCTTCTTAGATTGGCTCTGATCTTTTTAAAAGTGGATTTTTATTATTTAAAAATTAATTAAATAAAATCAACGATGAACAACCATATCTAGTATGAACTTCAGCATCATCAACTGACGTATTACATGCACACCAAATATGGTAAATAGAATTTTTAAGACTTAGTACTACGCGTTTCAATCTTACGTTAATGAAGGAATTCTTCAAGGAATTGATAGATAATTTCGTGTTACTAGCGAATATAAATGAGGAAAGAAAATAATCAAAATTTTGGAAAAATGAATCTAGAAGGTAAATCGCTAAACTTAAATAAATTTTCTTTTCTAAAGTTCCATTTCTAAACGACAATGGTAATACATCATTTTTCTTGGGAAAATTAACTGATAAAACAAACGACAGGAGAATGGTAGCAGTTAACACGGTTAACAATTAAAATCATTAAAATGAACAACACAGTAATTCAATTAACCCACCAGAAATAATAGTTAATAATAATAATAATAAATATATAATGTTTGCATGTATATAAGTGTACATAAGCAATCACAGTTCCAAATAGACATGGCTAAAATCGGAAGTAAGCAATAATCTTGAAACCGAATATACTGATTCCAGAAATACGCAAATGGCATACTGTGGATCTTTTATATCCTCGAATCACGAGGATAATGTGCCCTAATATATTTATTATTCCGTTCCGGACTGAACACTTTTTCCGTTATAAGGTTCAGACAAAAAAGTGCCATTATTGCCAGATACAGCGATACAATGACACCAGCACATGCCTATAATCGCAACAAATATAAATCAGAATATGATTATAAATGAAACTATCAAAAGTTTTAAGATTATTGTTTCTTAAACATAGTAAAAAAAAACTCCTTAAGCATAGTAAATCATTTAGGAAAAAAGAAAAAGTAAAGAGTAGAAATATTTTTAAACTCTCATAGAAGTTTAAAAATCTAAATATAGTAAAAAAAAAGAAAGATAATTTATTAATATATACCGGTCAATCTTAAAGTTCAATTAAATCTAGAAAACTTATGGGAAAAAGAGAAAACTTACAGCAATCCATCCGAAACGTTCTCCAGTTTCAATGATAGTTCGTTGAGAAATAGTCCCACCGATACCGCATACCAGAATCCATGCAATCATTCCGGCACCGGCGAATACCACTTCCTGAATCATAAGTTACTGATAATTATATTGATCCCCACTAAATATCACATTTTTCTTCAGTCCGAAATGTACATCAAAGGGAACGACAGAATTCATTCCTTTTGATATGCAAAAGTAAATCATCAATTAAAAAGACTACTTTTAATGACCGAATAGCCAAAAATTTAACAATCCCGAGAAAATAAACATATAACTTGCAGTGATAGAGCAGTTTGTAAGGGATATCACTCTTCTTTCGCCCATTTTTTGATGATGTGCAATAACATACATAATAATGGAAACGGTACAGTGAAGCAGAGTAAGTGATGAAATGATATAAATGAGGACAATTTCATAGTTTACGGAAATATATGCTACTGCATATTCCGGGTCGAGTAGAATCAGCACTACTATTGTCAAGACCTGAAATTACTGCAGTGGATTACGCACGGTAAAACTGTTTGAAATAACGCAGGGAAGAAATTTGAAAATCACAAATTTTTTGACCTTAAAATTATTGCAAGCAAGCTTATTTCATTTTTCATCACAGTTAGACATTTTTTATTTTATTAGTTTAAATTCCATTAAAAAATTAGGATAGAATTTCCAGACTAATCATATTTAACTATAGTTGGATAAAGCTGCACATTATTGCATACGTCAATATGTGTTATTTCTAAATCAGTTATTCCTATTCAGCATTGATGCAAAATGGTTCCGAAGAATGCGGAAGAGTTGAAATTTAAGCTTGATATACAATTCATGGATTTTAACGTGACAACCGAAAGATGTAATTACTTCTTCATTACTAATAATTGAAATGCAACACCGAATCGCATCTTCTCAGATTAAATTATAATGCAAAACTGTAATTAATTAATTGTAGAAACTGATATAAAATTAATATCTCCTAGCCAACCACACATCTCACATATAGAAAGTACTAAGAACCAGATAAATTTATTCACTAATTCATTCCTCATCTATATTTGATTAATAAAAAAAAAGAAAAAAAAACACTTACAACAATTAGAATTTTGATGGTTGCACAAATAATTAACTGCATGGGCATAATCATTGCAATTGAAAGGAGAGGAATGAGATAACTAGAATGATAGCGAAGAAGAAATGCGCTCCAATGCTTTCAATGTGATGCATTTGCTTTACTACCTGAGTCATTGTGTCAATATTTGTAAAAGTGAAATGCACTGAATGGGTGCTGTAGGACGCATAACAATTAGCCCACTCTTCGCTGTCTCACCTGCAGTGATTCTTCTTTAAAGATGTAATACAACAGTGAAGTATGTGCTGCACATGGAAGATATTTAAAAATCAATTGCCAAAGTATTACCAGATCCCTCTGCTTAAGTATCTTTCCAATTAATTGACTTGTTAATGGTTAATGCTACCAATCATTTCTTATAGATCATTCTCTGAACCATGAATTGGTAATGAGCTTTACGGACCACTACACCACGTTTTGAAAACATTTCAAATCATTATTAGCCTTTGCTTCCCACTTCCCACTTGCCGGAATGCTCTGCCAGCTGCTGACTCAATTCCGCATGAATCGCTTATTGTATATAGCAATAAGGTAGTAACTAGTCATATTTTTGTAGCTTTTTCACAATAGTAACTAGTCATACTTTTGTAGCTTTTTCACAAACCTTATAGTAACGAGATGTAATGTTAGTCATACTGCGATTACTGCTTTAAAATAAATTACTAACTGATTTCAGATTGAATCGACAATTCCATCTCAACTGAGATTTCAAATTGCGATGAACAGCTCTCCCTGAATGGCAAACTACCATAAAAGTTTTTTTCATTTAAAGACATAGCATTTAAATACAAAATTTTTCTGCATAATAAATTTTATTGATCGATTACAATACGGTAAAAAATCTAACTTAAAAATAGAAAAGTTAGGAAGGGCTATAAAATGATGGAAAAGTTTACCAACACAAAATACGGACAAAGCAACGGATAAAGTCAACGCAAAACAACATTTACGATAACGAAGAGATCAAGCTTGATCCATAAAACTACTAAACTCTAACAGTAAAAACCGTGAAAAAGTTGGAAATGGAAATTCTTCGGTTGAAAACTACACTCTTTTTATTGAACTGATGTAGGACATAGTCGGCAAGCTATACTGATAATGGAATGAACTGTATTACGGATCATCTGTGGACAATTAGGACTCGACACAGCTTGCTCAAGAGAAGCACGAAGCTGGTAGAAAACCAATCTGAAAACTATAATCAGTAAATTTTCGAATAGCAATTCCTATCGATTAATTCCGAATGGCTCACACATCTATAGCAAAAGACTGGAAAAAAAGGCAGAAAAAAACACTATGAAATATTTATTATATCATCAAAAAAAAAAAAGTCTAATGCTTCAAATAACTTAGTTTATATAAATGTTATGGATTCAATAAAAATTAGGTTAATAGAAGTCTACTTATGATTATGTACAGCACTCGCAACAAGTTCTGTGTCCCATTATTTAAATATAACAGTGGCCAACTTTTTTATAAATTGTGTAAAGAAAATTACTTTGTAGAATGATTCCTGCGAGATACATAACGCAACATTATAAATCGGTAATATATGAATGGCAGAAAGAACGAAGTCTTACCCCTGAAAACATTAAATGCATTAAGTTAAGAACATGTTTTTTATTATTGGTTTTTGGATTACAAAGTTATGCTGTATATCTCAGGATGATCTGTGATTACCAATTCAATTAACATACATTTGTTAAATTTGAATGTAATTGTATAAATAAATAGGCTGAGAGATTAAGTGTTCCACTGCTAGTAAATCAAAATGATCGATAAGTTTCAATGCATTATCTTTAGTTGGGATTTATAAATGATTAACAGATTACAGCAGCGATATATGTGCAGAATTAAATCACGGAAAAAAACCAAACCGATTAACAAAAACTTACATGAATACCATGGCAACAAGCATTGGCATTAAAAAGATTTCAGAACATGCAATAATTCCCAGAAGATTCTGCGTATGTTGCCGTGTTAGCTCAGACATTTTGTTAGCCACATTCGTTGCTTTTCCTAGTGCATAACATATCTGAGTGATGAAATTGATGGCATGCAACAATCCATATAAAAATATTGGCATAAGTGCCACTGAAATGAAAGATTTCATTATATAAAATTATCTTATTGTTTTTATCTATTGTTTGTGTATTCTAAATGTTGTCAGTTAGATGTCTACTGCTATATACCCTAACTACTTGGAGTACAACTGACGAATTATATCATTGCTTATAGCGATTGAGACTGATTGCAGAGCAGCTGATTGTTTTCAAATATTTCTGTAAAACAAAATAATTTTTTCGCTTATTTTATCAAACTTATAAAAATGTACAACAGATAATAAACATACTAGTAACTGGAACTGAAGTTATAAACAAGACGGAGTAAATAAGATAGTGGCACGAATCTTCCAGAAGTACCATGGACAAGAACTCCCGAGTGAAACGCAGTCCTCCAACACGTTGATGTACGCGAAGAGCATTTGTAGCAGCAGCTAAAATAACGTCAAATTATAGGCATATATATAAAACAACTTCCACAATGTTGTTTTCCTGATTTTATTCTAAACGTATTTCTTCATGCTGTATCTTTATTTACACATTTGTCTCTAATATATTTTATATTTCATTCATATTTGCTGCTGAAGTGATGACAACCACAAATAAAAAATAAATTAAATCATGCCATGTAATCCTTTTGAATACAAAATACGTACCAGCTGCGAAAGCTTTTGAATAAGCTGAGTATTGAGAACTTCGAGCACCGAACGGTAAAATAAAATATGACGTACATAAGACAGTTATAATTCTTGTCAAGAAAAGAATAACATCTGTTTGACGGGATTTCAAGAAATCCTGAAACATGAATACATATACACCTGAGAGGAAGTTGAGAATAATTTCTATTGCTTTCAAACGGCAGTATTTAGAAAATATTGCACCCACTCAAAGGAAGTACGACATTTTTAGTATCGTGAATATGAATTATAAAGTACGAATAAATGAATCCTGAAATAAGGCTTATTCCTTATAGTTACACTACTATTTAAATATTCTATTTAAATGATCAAAAATGTTCAGTGATTTATCTTTCCTGCTGGTTACAATCCCATGACTTAACACCTTTTGACCACATTAAATTGATCAATATGCGGAGTGAGTGTATTTCTGGGGATGTGCTAGCCTTTTATTGGGCGTGATGTAAGAAATTCCAATTCTTACTTTATTGTTCCAAGACTATTTAAACTCGACCCAAAGTTTCTGGTGGTTTCAAATTCAAATCTCCTGTATATTAAGCAAACATTTTCAGTTGGAATCCATCCACATTACGGTTGGATTACTTAAGCTTCTATCGCTTGTAAGAACGAAAATAATGTGAGCTGTATTGGGAACGTACTGCTAATGTTGACTGTCCTCGCACGTAAGAATGCGTCGCTGATGGACTGTCGCCAGAAGGTGAACTACTGGATGGTGGTGAGGAACCATCATGACGAGTAGTACTTTCCTCATGAATCTCAACCATAATAAAACAACAGCAATCTGAAACAAGTATGTAAAGATACTTTGCAAGGGTCAATGTCACCAAAGCTACTTTCATCAGGAAGCAATCTACAAATTAACGCACAGGTCAACAGGTGAACATATTTCTTTTTACTAAGCTGCTGGTGAACACTCATCTCACTCTCGCACAATTCAAAACCACTCAAACCAGTTGTCAAGATTATGCACTGCTTACTGGAAATGATTCGAATGAAAGACAGAAATGGAATGATTCAAGTGAAAGGAGAGAAACTGTATTAACTACAGGTGATCGACACGCAGGTCACACTGGTTCTCATACCACAAGGGCACATGAAAGGATGCGTGACTCACGTGACTCGTGCAGTTCACCCTAAACATTCGCATAATCCGAACATGAAACCTATTCGAGCGATTGACCCTACACCAAAAAAGGAGGCGGGATCAACAAAAATTTCGATTTTGCCCTCCTGCCTGCTTCTCCACATATATCACACACTTTTCATGTTTCCTTCTCTCAGCCTAATGACAAACGCTTCATATTTATTGGATGTCTCATTGTGACATGCTTTGCCCCATTAACAATGCCGAGACGCAGAGGATAATATTGTTAGAGGTTACAACGTGAGGTAGGTTAGCTTGGCGGGTGTCACGTTGTGAAGAGCTGTAAGGTTACAAGATCAGTTAGACAGGAGATTAGTTTTGGTATATATGTCTTGTCTGTCAACTTTTTTATCTTGACTAGTAATTTGTATAAGTTTTGGAATATTCTCTTTTCTTTATTTTATTTACATGAATACATATGCATTTTTGAGATTAAACTCGGATATTCTCACTGCCATTATCATGCCGAAAATGAAATTCTATGGTGATCGACCGCAGTCATTTTCTATTGATGATTCGGGGGAGCGTTACTACATCGGTGCTGAGGTTGGTAAAATAGCTACACACTTTTCACATACAATACTGCAGTTAAAATCGCAAAAGAGGTTACTATGCATAAAATAGTTTGGTATCCAGATTTCTTCGCGGAGAAGTTTTACTCTTCTTAGCACTTTATTAAACATTTTTGTATGACGCTTTAGCATAAATTCTAGGTGGGACAGTACATGCGATATCACCGTGGTTCGTTATACAAAAGGTTTCCACAATTATGGAAACGTATGGCAACTTTGGAAGAGAAACGGAAGATGCAAGAAATGGCTTGTCCATCATCTTTCTTAAATACTAATATTATGCTAGTGAAGGCTTGTGAGGTGTGACTTCGTCTCTCAATTTTTATAGAAAGGATTACATTACATCATTATCTTTTAAATACGTCAAGTTTCTTCTCCCCAAGTAGATACTAAATTATTAGTCAATTTTTTCTTTACTTGGAAAACCTGCATTTTGTAAAAGTATCATACTCAGTTGCTGTAGTCAACAGCAGCAATAAAATGTTGATTTAAGGTTGATGAAATCTTGATGGGAAATGAAGAGAAGTACCGTGCGGGAGGCACTGGTACAGCAAATAGTGGTATGTCATCAGGTAGTACCACTGCTCTTAATGGTACTCCAATGAAATCAACGCGGTCTGGAACAGGACCATGGCTTGGACAGCAAGTATGTTTTAGTAATTGGTAGCGTTTAGATTTGTGTAGTTATAGTTTATTTGTTTGTCAAGTTAAGTTCAAGTTGCTTTATGTTCTGATTACTCCAGAATTTATTAAATAAATAATCTGGATTGAGAAGTCAAAGTAGGTATGATAGTCCTAAATCAGCACTGAAAGTGAACCTGTGTCGCATTACAAGGACTGATATTTATTTACCGTGTTTTAGTAATTTTTTCAGTAATGTCCTAGTTATGGCAAACACTAAAAAACACTGAATAGATAAATCAGATTTTCTCATATCTTATATTTAACTTTTTGTAATCCTACTCAAAAAGTTTTTTTCTTGAAATAGAAAACTAGGTAACTTGTGAAAAGAAGACTGGTATCTAGTTGCACTGTAAAAACTTTCAACTAATTGCATGTTGAAGGTAAGCAGCGGTTCACATCATCTAGAAAGTGTTCCTTGTTCTACACCAGTGGCACATGCACGTGGGCATATGAAAACGCGTGATTTCGCTTCGTCACCAGATGATCTGGAGATGTATAAAAGAATTTTGGACAATGCTGACCAATCTGAGGAGCTAATACCTATAAGGCATTACCTTTTTTAAGAATGTTTGATAATATGGTACAGTTCATTGTTTCCTTTCTTTTTTTTTTTTTTATTGTTCCTTTTTGATTTCTTTTGTGATTCTTTTTTCAGGTTGGATATGGAATTGGAGGGTGTGAAGCTCCGCGATACATTTTGTTATAATCGCAACGAAAAACTGATAACGCCAGAAATTCTGGCTGAAACAATGTGTGATGATCTCGATTTACCCACAGGAACTTTTCAGAATGCCATTGCGCAAGCTATACATCAGCAAATTGAGGTTAGATTGTGATTTTATTTTTAGTAATTTTCTATTGCCATATTTTTCAGCTGTCGGGAACCGGATTAGTAGTTAATTCATCCTGTTGTTCAACAGACGACATTGTGGGTTTGCTTGAATGGTTGAATAGGATCGATGATTTTATTTGAAAGTCTTAAGTACTGCACACAAGAGTCAGAAACTCTTCGGTATTTCAGGCGGCAGGGGAAGCGGCTCCTGTCGATACGGCATTAAGTGATCAGCGAGCATTATTAAAGTTGAATATTCATGTCGGTAATCAGTCTTTGGTTGATCAATTTGAGTGGGACATGAGTGAAGAGATGAACAATCCGGAATGGTTCGCTTCAAAATTAGCTTCTGAATTGGGCCTTGGAGGAGAATTTGTTGCTGCAATAAGTTATTCTATCCGCGGGCAGTTATCATGGAATCAAAAAACCTATGCCTATAGGTATTTTTTTCAACTTTCTTAAAGGAACTTATTTACGATACTATGTATCGGACATATTTTGGACTTGGCTCAATAAGCATCTTTTTTGTTACGAAGTAGATTAGCTATTACGGTTGGATTTTTACATTTGTTAGCATATATATGACTCCTATTTTCATCCTAAGGAAGTTTTAAGCAGGTTTTAATGTTTAGTGAGTCTCCTTTGCCAACGGTAGATTGCCCGTTTCGGAATCCTGCAGATGCTGATGTTTGGGGACCATTCTTGGAAACACTTACGGATGCTGAAATCGAAAAGAAAATGCGTGATCAAGATCGTAATACACGTCGTATGAGGCGACTAGTGAATGCAAATCCTTATGGCGGTCTTTAATTTGCATTAGTCATTTTTTTAGCGAATTGAAATCCTTTTGATGTGTTCATAAAATTGTATTCTATTATTGAATGGTGATGAAAAGATGAATATTTTATGGCGCGGAAACTTTCCGGATGAAGTTAGGTCAAGTGTTTTAATCCAGTATAGTTTTTTATGCGTTATCTTGATAATATCGAAAATGGTACTGATAACATTTGCGTGATTTCAGTTATTATTTGTTGAATTATTTCTTTGTTCATGTTATATTAAAAACAGCGAATAAAGTGTATTTTGTTACGATCAGTAAATTTATTTTATCATTGAACTGTGTTCTTGTATAGTTGTTTCCAGTCATATTCATATTTAGCTATGAAAATCACATAATATTGATGGAAAATAAAAAACTTTATTTTCCTAAACTTTAAGTCTTGATAGGGATTTTTTCTACATTATTTTTTCAGATTTTTGAAATGGCTGCTGTGACAGGAGATAGTATTGAGGTTGACGACGACATGGAGCTTGAACATACAGACCAAAGTTAGTTTAGAAATTTAGTATTTGTTTTTACGAATTGCCGTTTTGTATTTCTGGACTTAATTGCGAACTTTATGTGTAGTTGCGAGTGTCATTCTGTGAGGTTCCTTTATTCCGCAAATTATTTTTAACCATTATTGGTCAAATTGATACGATCAGCGACAAATTGATACGATTTTCTAATCATAGTTTGTAGGTTTTGAAATCTGTAATCTCATATTTCAAATATTGCGGGCCAAAATGGACATTGGAATGAAGAATTCTCTTGATTTTTAAAACTAGCAATATAATTTCAATTAATTAAGCTGGATTTTGATGTGATCGAGTGCCTCTGATATAACATATTTTCCCACCAGAATTTGACGCGAGATTTTTTTTTATAACTTCATAGTAAATAACCAATATGTATTGCATATACGATATCGTCATGTTAGGGAATTCTTTTTTTTTGTTCTGGAATGTTCAAACAAGTATTAATGCGTAATGTGCAGTAAGGTTTGCCTAAAATGTTAGAAATGCTTAAGAAGAAAGATTAGAAACATTTTTATAACGCTTTTTAGAAAATGCTTTCATTTAGTTTTCCAGCTTCATTTGTATTTGTGACTGCATTTATATGTGTCCGATGTGTGCTGTTGCAGATATTTTCTACCTTCTATGATTTGCAGATATTTTGGTGACTTCAGATTCCTGATTTGTTATCTAGATATATGAAACGTACTTCTCAAAAATTCTATATATATGATTGAGATATTATAGTTGACGATTTAAAAAGTCGAGTGACAAAGAAGAAAGGACGTGGTTTCGGCGGTGAAACACATGCTGATGTAACGGAGTATGAAGGTCTGGAGAGTGCAGGAGGTGCAAATAATCCAAATGCTCCTCAAAGGTTTGGGAATACCTATTTATCATATTTCTTGTTTCAGTTAATAAGATTTGATAGTACTGCTTTTTATAAGCTCTTTACATTTGCATCTTGTTTTTCTGAAAAAAAAAAGTTCCATGTTGTGTTTAGATCAGTGGAAGGCTGGATAGTATTTGTGACAAATGTTCATGAAGAAGCCCATGAGGATGACGTATATGAACGATTCAGCGAATATGGTGAAATTAAAAATATGAATTTGAATATTGATCGCAGAACGGGCTTTCTAAAGGTTATTTTCTGTTGTTTTTGTCACTTTTTTTCAAAAATTGAAAAGAATATATTTGTATTGGCGTGAAATTCTTCATTGGTCTGTAAACTGGGTTTACTGAATATTAACTGGTAGTGAAGCCAGATTTCGCAAATAAATGAATTTCTTATCACTTATTTGGAACATATTCTAGTAATATCAAAGCTAAATGATGGATTTCCAAAATATGTATTGGAAATTCTTTCATTCCAGTGATCAATATACTGTTTCTGAATTTTTCACTGTTTTATTGAAATTGGATTTGTTTTGTTTCTTATTTAGGGGTACGCACTGGTGGAATATGAAACGCAGAAAGAAGCTCTTGCTGCAATCGAAGGTTTGAATGGCGCAGAGTTGCTCGGGCAAACAATAAACGTTAGTTGGTGTTTTGTTCGGGGCAGTGCACAGAAGAAGAGGCGACGATGAATTAATCTCAGTTCCATTTAGAGTGAACCTGTAATTCATTTCGGTAGAACTCCTCATTGAACTTCTCATTGTTGATCTTGCTGAATTTTACATTTTTTCCCTTCTAAAATTGTTTCATATTTTTCTAAGGTTAAATTTTTACTTGATTCAGATCCACTGGATGTCTTAATTTCGTTACCGCTAATAATGTGAAGTCGACATAATTTTTTTTTTTTGTATGCGGAATTGTTTGTTGTTGTATAAAACTCATTCACAATATGTTTGGATTTGAAACTACAGCACTCATTAATGCCCTTGATAAACTATGCCTGCATTAGAGTGATTTAATGTGTAGTAATCAGTCAAATCATCTGTTGCCGTAGGAAAATTTGTGATGAGAAATGAAAAAAAAATTCTTACTATTGAGGATCGTCGTTGCAGTTTACGCACTTCCTTCTTGAACTACGAATCCAGCAAGGATTGCAGAACTCGGATTGGAAAGTGAATAAAGCCTGTTTATTGACTCTTTATTTTTGTTTCATTAGCTAACAGAAAGGCACGATGACAAATTGGGTGATATATGGTACAGAGTTGGAGGAACTTAGCGATGGGACCAGTTCGTTTGTTTTTAAAACATTTGATTCTCTTGTGAGCTAGGTCTGCTTGATTAAGAAATTGCAAGCCTGTAACTTCGAAGTGGTTCCTTACTCGCTTGTTGTTAATTTTTAATATAATCTAGTTTCGGAGTTTATTTACCAATAGTTTTTTTAATTTCGGATTATTATCCTTTCATCCGTTTTTAAACGAAGTTTTTCGTGTGGACTTTCGGTCATTTCAGGTAGTGTGAATACTATAAGACCTCTTGCAATTGAGGAGCAAGTGGTAAAAGATGAAAAGGGACGAAAACGTTTCCATGGAGCATTTACTGGTGGCTTTTCTGCAGGGTATTTTAATACTGTTGGTTCTAAGGAAGGTAGTGATTTATCTGTTGTCCATAATTGTTTAGGAATAATTCCAATATTTCCGTTACTTAATATTATATAAAGATGTTTAAGGTTGGATACCAAAAAAGTTCAAATCGACTCGCGATGAAAGGGGCAAAAGAATTGATTCTAAACCAGAGGATTTCATGGATGAAGAGGTCCGAGTTATGTTATACTGTGTCATAAAATCCTGGGGCAACTTCATTAGCGACTCTCATCTTATGGATAAAGTTAAATGTTTGTGAGATAATATATAGGTCTACTGGTAACGGGTAAGTTGAACAATATCTATTATTATTAATCAGTGCTGAAGATTGGTAATTTTTAGGACTTGAGCGAATTTGGAATAGCAAGCAGACGAATAAAAACTTCGGCGAATGTTGGTGGAAATAATAATGATAGACATTTGTTAGCATGGGAACGAAATATGCAGTCTTCACTCGAATCATCACTCTCAGTTCATCTTCAAAAAATTATTAAACCAACTAAGTAGGAAACCAATGTCTTCTTATTTCGAAATGTTTTCATGTTCAAAAATTCAACTCCATGCAGATACAGTCAAAATTCAACTATCACCATTTTACAGGGACTCAGTGGGCATACAACTGTTGAAAAAGATGGGATGGAGAGAAGGGCATGGAATTGGATTGAAAATGTCACGAAAGGCATTGGAGAAACAGAAGTGTATGTAAAATCTTCATTTTGCTTATAGTACTTTTATTATTAGTTCTCCATGCTGCCTTAATAAGGGAAGTACTCAACTGTTAATAATGGTGTACACTTTTAATAAGTGGAATATTGTGGAACACAATCGACATATATATATATATATATATATATATATATATATATATATATATATATATATATATACCCTGCACTCTTTCATGCTTTTCCTCTTTAGTTTGTTTATTATGTTGTTATTCCAGTGAATGATAATAGAATTCATGGTGAAAAAGGGTTTTACAATGAAGAAGCAGTAAGAGAAGTGGATGAAATGGCACCAAATTTTTTATTTGCACCAAGCGATTTTGATCCAGCTATTCTGAAGCCCTCTGAAGGTAGTCATGGTTTGGGATATCGCGGAATGCGACATACGTCTGTGTTGTCTGAAAAATACGGCATCCTAGAGGCAGCACTAAAAATAGAGAAAAAAGGAAAAGGTATTTCGGGACAAGTATGTTTCATGTATATTTACAAATACAAGATTTCTTCATTTTGATTGATCAGAACATAATTCTGTATCGTTTTATTGCAAGTTCTTCCTTCCAGGGTTTGGATAATCTTTGGCTTATGTCGCAGTAATTCATCTTCTAAAAAAGTTAAGAGGCTTCGAAGCTTTCTTGCTGTTTCTAATACTATAGGCGAGAAATCTAATATTTTCGAACGAACGCAACTGTTGCATGTTTTCGTTAACTTATTTATATATATGTATATTTCAAGGCATTTGGTGTTGGTGCTTTTGAAAATGACGATATGAACATATATACGAATTATGATCTTTCTCAGTATGATTTTGCGATTGATAGCAATGGGATGGCACCCAGTGCATCATGCAGTGCAAGTAATTCTTTTTATGATCCTGCTGTTTTTGTTTCAAACAGAATATTATTGCCTACAACTGAAACTGGCACTGCAATTAATAAGGACGAGTTCAGAAATCGTCATTAGGTTTCTAGTGTTTCAGTAAAATTATTGCAGGTGACACAAGTTTTGTAATGGCATCCAAACGCCAAGTTGTAAGACAGTTTTTCGAACCGCCGCGAATTCCATCGAATTTTCTTTCGCGGCACACTCCCATCCACCCAGATATTTCTCAAATGCCCTTAAATATTAAACAGTTCAGTGAAAGAATGAATCATCTGCAACGCGCAAAGTTTTTGGGAGAGGTTTTTTTTTTTTTTTTTTTTTTTTGCTATTAAGGGTT